CCCCCGACAAGCCCTCTACCGCCGATCTCGTCCTTGCCGTTACTGATTTCTTTCCGCAAGTAAAACGGAGCTTGGATGGAGGAGCCCCTACACCAGACGCATTCCAGCTATTGTTGCGTCACCTGGCGGAGCAATTTGACGTCGGCGACGGCCAAAAGTCGTTTTTGCGGCTGCAACAATTTGGCGTAGCAGGTGGTACTCTTTTGCGGATTATCTTCGGGCTTTCCGTTTGTTAGTTTCGTCTGTGACTGGCTCTGAACGTACTTTGGCCCCTAGTGTATCCATGGTTCTCGAAATAGTGCGAAACTCGGTCCACAAGCAATTTCCGAGTCTGTCTCCGCTTTTGTACCCGGGTGTTTTGGCCACTGCGGTCACTCCCTTTGAGTCGATTGCGGTTGTGTGGGAGGCGTTCGCGCGTTTGGCGACTAATAAAACCCCGGCTATCGATGGTTCATCTTATTTTTCGTTGACTTCGACCCGTGGCTCTCTGCAGCCTTGGCGGTCTAACGACCGCGGCCCTGCGTCTTCGGGCCAGTGGGCATCCGGTTCCGCACAGAACCCTGTAGTTTTGCCCGTGCGACCTCAAGCCACGGATCCTTTCACGCACAACTACAACTCGTGGCCTGCTTCGCAAGCCGACTGGTCTAATGTATTGCCCTCACCGCCATTTTTCGTAACTCCGATGATCCTTCTCTATGGACTCCTTTGTTGACACAAGAGGCTCGTTCGCCAGCCTTCCGCGAAAACAGAAACCGCTGTCTGAACTGCTCGGGTGATGACCATTCCACGAAGCAATGTGCTTCTCCCTTAACGAATTCTAGTGGGTTGTTGAATCCCGAGTTGGGTCACCTCAACGACGACTCTGCTGCTTTTAGGCGTTGGCAAGGTCGCATGCGATCCTTCAGGCGGAAGGGTTCAGATGGACGCAACAACAATCAGGGTAGACGCCATCGGCAGTCTTTTTCCTCCTCTCAGCGTAGAAACCACGCTGGGCCTCGCCGTTCCGACGGTGGGAGTTCCGCTCACAATCACCACCAACAATCCCACCACGGTGGTCAAACCTTGGAATATTCCGTGGGTAACCATCATCATACACAACAGACGTCTGGCAACACCCACCACCCTGGTGCTCTGTCCGTCTATCAACCCGAATCGCATGCTCAAACTGGTCCCTCGTCTGGCGTCATGGTTTCG